TTGAATGAAGTGAGCCATTTTGAACCTTATTTTTGAGAGGGAGCTGGAAAAGCCAGTGATGTTTCTTTTTCCTGTCACTGCCGCAAAGCCCTTACGTACATGTCAAGGCCCATTGTAAAAATCTGACTCTTAAAATTAAAAACATTGGTGAGGAGAAGATACCCAAGCAGTAGATAAAGACCTGCTTGTTTCAAATGATACCAACAGCGCACAATTCAACCATTACATAGTGGCTGGCGTGGGCTCAGACATGAGCGTGGGGGCAAATTCTGGAGAGTTGGGGCACCCCTTGGCACCTGGGTGCACACTGGCCATGATGCAGCATACAGGACATGCAAGGACACCTTCAGTGATCTCTGGGGTTAAACCAGACTGTAGTCTCTGAACTGTTTTCTTCTTTTCAGGCTTCATTATTGTTGATATTGGTAGTCAACTTTCTAGATGTGATTCTCTTACTCTTCCTTTATTTGATTCTGAAAATGAGGTCTCAGATAAGTTGGTATTTAGTTTAATTATAAACTTGTAAAGAGCTTGGTGAAAGTACTGGTTATTTAAACAGAACTCCTGGCTGCATTCTAATCTGTATCTGATTTTGAGAACTGGAAACTGTTTCAGCATTCTAAAGTGATTTGACATAGTTTCAGGACAAATCTTTGAAATTTAATTCTATGTCTTAACACAGCATAATATAACCTATACTGGCTTAGAGTTTCTCTTATTAATTTGTTTGAAATTGCAAAAGTAACGATTAAAGATCTAGGAATATGAGTAATGGTTGCAGGTGCTGGTTTTTAAAAAAATTTTTTATCATCTTTGGTCTGTTTTCAACACTGTCCCATTCAGTACATTGACTTTAATGATACTTTCCTTATTATAATGGCCTTGTTTTTGTCTTTTTAGGCTTAACTATGATGATACTGTAAGAATGCTCTCCTCACTTTAGTCAAGACTTGTTAACATCAGCAGTAATAGAAATTGGTAATCATTTGGTATGCAAGTGACAGGTAGGACAGCAATTACTGAGCATCTGCTGTATACTGGCCTTTATTAATTGTTACAGATGGTCACACCCCTGATATCAAGTTGTTGAAAATAGAATTGTCAATGAAAATCACATGGGCACTAATTTCCTTGAGATTCAATGCATCGTGAATATGTGCAGGTAAAATTCATAAGTTTCAGGAGTCTAGACAACAAAAGTATGATGGCTTAGGGATGAGGAAAATTAAAGGAGGCTTCCTGGAAAGACAAATTTCCACCTAGTAGTAAAGGGTTCGTTGGGCTTGGGAGGTCGTGAACTCCAGTGTCACCATACCAGTGAATAAACGATTTCATGAAAATGCAGAGAATACAGAGTTTGTGTATATAAGACATATATGTTCATACTTTATAGGCTTTAAACTTGTGAACACCAGACACTTGCTTATGAATTATTTTGCTAAGTATTTTAAATAAGTTACAAAAATTAAAATAAAAATTTAATTGCCTATCTATCTTATTATAGACCTCTCTGTTTAAATAGAAGAGCTTAACATTTAATCTTTGCTTTTACATGTTAATAAAGGCTATTAGCATTTTAAAAGAGAAAACAGGTTTTTCCAGAATCAATGATGTAAAATTTAGAACTGTAAATACTGTGAGCACTAACAATGAAAATTGCAAAATGAAATCAGTTGAGGCAGAGCTGCGTGTTTACCTAAAAGTTTGTAAAATATTAAGAATATTAGCTATGAACCTAACATGTTATTAAAAGGGATGTATCATTAAACTTTATTAAAGAAATTTTATAATTTTTTGAGGAAAACCATCATTTAAACATAGACTTAAACTTCACCCATGCTTTCAAGTGTTTTTAAGAGAATGTAATTCAAATTAGGTAGTAAGCAGGCAGGTATGGTTTCCAGCAAAATGAATTTTTAGGCATAAAACACTAAAAGTAAGGTAGAATTAACTTGAATTAAAAATAGCAATGATGGAAGAGCCTGTGCGTGGGTCCATAATGGAAGGCTTCACTTAAAACTTGTTCTTGGGCATTTCCTTGGCAAAGGGCACAGACACCTGCCTCACATTCTTTTGCAATGTTGAGCTGGGAGTAATTAGGTCACCGCAATTTTGACACCTTTGCTGGAGTTAATTGTTCTGTTAATATCCTTTGGGTTTTCATCCCTTGCCATCTGGGGTAGCACTTTTGAGCTGAGAGGGAGGAAACCCATTTACTGAACCCAGATCTTTGCAAAGTGCGAGTTCTGCCATCACTCCTTCTATGCTCCTAACAAGTACAGCTGGAATTAAGTTGTACTACAGTGGAATGACATTGTGACAGGTAACTCTACCTCTAAGTTTGTAAGGATGACCAGAATGCAGTGCGTTCACTCAATTTTAAAGCAGAGTATTTATTCACAAACGGTTTGGAGTGATAGATGTTTTGGTACACACTCTTCTGCCTTTCCTGATAAATCACTAGAGAAACTCAAAGGGAAGGAAAGGAATCCACAAGAAACACATTCCACAGGTGTAGCCAAGACTGAACACGTGGTGAGAGCCATATCTGTATGTTTGTAATTCAAATCTTTACCCAGGCAAGAGCTGTGGAAGAAAGGCAAAGCGACTGTGCCCGTGAGACTTACGTGAACAAACGTGGACCAGAATTAAGGAGAGAAAGCATGGATCAAAGTGTAACTGCTTATTTAGTAAACACCTCCTCGGACTGTTCCTTTTCCGTTTTTATGCTTTGTGATTTTTAAATTTGTTCAGGAATCGTGTCCCTTCCAGCGAGCAATCGGGAGAAAAGAAAGATGAAAAAGAGAAAGAAGGTTGATTCTGGAAAAGGGTTAATGAGAACTCTAGCTTTTGTGTCCTGATTTACACAAAGACTCACAGAACAAAACCTTGATGTTTTTCCACCCCGCCCCCTGTGCCCTCAAGGTGGTTTATATCCAGGTTAAATGCAAGTGTTTTTGTAACTAGAAAATCGCTCTAATGGCTCCCCAAAAATGCAACCGATAAACCTTAAGCAGCGAGAAGAAACATTTTGGGTGTAAAGAATGAACGATAAACACTCCAAGGAGAAACTCATCTTTCCCTAAATATGTGGAAGCCCCTTCCGTGGGAGGGTCCACTCTGCCGCAACGCGCGACAATTGCGACTCCCAACCAAGTAAGAAGTGTCGGGGCTGCGCGGCGGGAGCAGCGAGAAGTCGAAAGTCGCGAGGCTGCAGCTCGAGACCAGGCGGCTTCGCTCCATCTGTCTAGTTTTATTCTCCCCTGGAAGAAAAAAATGCAAAAGCAACGGCACTGCGTCCCCAGCCCCCGAGGTAAGAGTCGCCAGAATCATTTTGTTTTGTTCTACAGATTTATAGATTCCGACCAAAGTGAGTATCAGGACTGGTGCCCGTTATACGCGACACCCAAGTCTGTCCCGGAATCGCCGAAACGTCCCTGGATTTCCCTGGAGTTGAATCCTGCAGGAATCCCTGGAATTCCACCTGCTCGGTTTGGTGCACACGCAACTATGCCCTTTTCTACTGTTGCGGGTTTGGATGAGAGTCGGGAAAAGCATTGATTAAGGAAGAATATGCAGCTCGCTTCCAAATAAAAACATGTGAAACCCGATAGAGGGAAAACGTGGAGGGGGAGAAATGGCCTGGGGGCGGGGCGCATTTATAGAGCCCCATCCTATGTCAGCAGAGCCACTGCACCTAAGCGCACGCCTAAAGCTCGGTAACCACTTTGCCCTGCGAGCAAGCTGGGCTGTGGCACGCGTGCTGTCCACTAGGGAAGGTGACCTAGTTCAGGAACCTTGGACAGCCTGTCCCACCTTGGGGTAACAGGGTCTCACTCTCCTCCCAACTCGGATCCGGCCCATCGCGGTGGCTCCGCCGCGCGTGCCAGCTGGGACGCGCACAGCTAGCTGCTCATCTGTGCGCTCCGGCTCTCCAACTTCCTCAAACTTCGGCAACCGCTCGTTCTGAGCGCCCATTGGGCGGCATGGTTCCCTTCAATAGCAACTGTCTGGATTTAGGGCTGCCAAAGAGGAGGGGGAGGGAGTCCAGGAAAGATGCGGGTGGTGTTTGAGCCATAGTTTGTTCTTTCTATTCTCTAGCCCCACCGGGGTAAGCCGGGAGTGTGCGCACGAAGTTAGTTGTAAAGTGGGTATCGCAAAGGCAGTCCTGGGGGTGAACCGTTTGAAACCTTAGTTTATTGAAGACACTGTGCATGGATTTCAACTCCTACCGAATGTCTGAATTTGACCCCCCGCCCTCCGGGTTGATGGGGCTGAGCACCGCTCTGTTGGCCATCAAGTGTTCCCTGGCTGACAGGTCGACTGGGCTGACCCAACCACAGCACACAGCTGGAACAGCTGCAAGGTTGCAGACTTACAATCCCGAACACCGGACCCTGCTGTTACAATGCCAGGCAGTCACCAGACCTTCCCCAGCGGGCTCGCGGGCCTGGGTGCACTCAGTGCTCGGAGGACTGTTGGGGTGCGGGGGCCTGGCGCGGTGGGGCCGAGTCCCAGCAGGCGCGCAACGTGGGCGCGGGTGGCGGCGGCGTGGGGAGCGCCCGCTCCGCCAGTGGGCGTCTTCTGCCGCCGCCGCCGCCACCTCCCCGGGCAGCGGCACTGCGGCGCTTTTTTCCGCTGCTTTCGAGCAGTCGCCCAGGCTCAGGCGCCGGAGCGCGCACAAACCACGCCACGCCTGCAGGCAGCGTCTCCGCAGCCCCTCGCCCGGCCGGGGAGGACGCCGATCGCGCGCGCCGGCCAGTAGTCAGGCGCCGCCACCGGGGACTCGCCCCCAATCCCGGGTCCTCCCGCACCCCAAGCGGAGCACGAGGTGAAGACTGAGCCGGGAGGGGCACGGAAGACGGGAGAGGAGGACCCGACAGGCGCTCGGGCTGACCCGCGGGGAGGGCAGGTCCTGCGGGGGCGGAGCCCGCCGAGCCCCGGCCCGCCGCTCCCTCCCGCCGGCGGCCTGCCCCCACCGCGGCAGGAGGAGGAGGGCCATGGCCAGCCCCGAGCAGCCTCGCGCTCCCCGCCCCCGGGCTCCGCGGCCAGCCGCCAGGGACCAGCCGGGCCCAGGCCAACTCCGCCCGGAACCCCGGCGCTGTGCGGCCGGCGGGGGAGCGCGCCGGGCCCGGGCCTGGCCCCCGAGCGGCCTGGCCACGGCCGGCGGAGCGCGCGCCCCCCCCCCCTCCCCGGCAGGCCGCGCCGGCCCCGCAGGGGGCCCCGGCGCCCTCTCGGCGCTCGGCCCTGGAGGCTGCGGCTGGGTGGCGGCCCGCGCTCCCTTCGCGCTCGCCCTCTCCTCCTCTGTCCCCTCCTCCTCTCCATCTTCCTTTTACTTCTGGCCGCCGCCCCCTCTGCCCCCTCCCCCTTTTCTCCCCTCCTCATCTGCCTTCCACCTCCCCGTACGTCTCCCAGGAAGGGAGGGCGCGGCGGCGGCGGCGGCGGCGGCTCGAGGAGGCGGCGGCGATGCTGGCGGCGGCGGAGGAGGGGGACAAGAGGCAGCTCCCTTGAGCGTCCCCCCCAGCAGTAGTCACCGCAGCAGCGGTGGCAGCGGCGGCGGGCGGCGGCGGCTCTTCCTCTCGCCTGCGCTCCAGGGCTTGCTGCTTCCAGCCCGCGCCGGGCCCCGGCCGCCGCCGCCGCCGCCGCGGCTTCCCCTCGGCCCGGCCGCGCGCCGCGCCGACTCCCCAGGCTTCCCGGGCGCCGGCGGGGGCTGCCCCGGCCCCGGTCCCGCCGGTAGCGGCCGAGCTCCGCGGCGGCCCCGAGGCGCCGGCTTCGCCCTTGCCGCCGCGTTGCCGCTGCTCTTCGGCTCCGACATGGAAGATGGACCTTCTAATAATGCGAGCTGCTTCCGAAGGTTGACCGAGTGTTTCCTGAGCCCCAGTAAGTGGCCCGGCTCTACGCTCCTGGAGGCTTGGCGCCTCGTGGGGGGCTGGGGGGCACGGACCGCTGGGCGATTAGCGCCCAGGGGGCTTCCATGAAGGGGCAGGAAGCTGGTAGCACCTCGGTGGCGCGCGGGAACGCCGGTCAGTGCAGGGACACCGGGCTTTCCCAGGCTCCGCTAGCGCGTCGAGGAAGGGTGGCCCGGGGGCGGCGGGAGCCGGGTTGTTTAGAAAGGGACGCCTTCGGCCCTTGGTCCCCCTGGGGTCGTTCCTGGCCACACTGGCCCGGCGCGAATCCTCTCAACTTTGCCACCGCCTACGCCAGGTTCCCCGCTCTGGAGCCGGTGACCACTTGACTGGAGTAAATGCGCTTCTGCCAGTTGGGGGTCCCGCCCCCTGGGTCTCAGCAGGCCGGGGCGCCTCGACCCCGCGCCTCCCAAGGGGAGGGCAAAGTGTTCTGGAGGAGGGATCTGAGGGATGGAAATGGCTGCACCTCCACGGAGAGGGCGCGCCCCCACCCAGAGCCCACCTAATGCACATCCTGGGGTTCTCTGGGGTTCGGTTGGTGAAGAAAGGGAGGGACAATGGGTTGTTCGCGTGGAAGAAAAAGGCGCCGCGGGGTCCGACCCGCGGATGGTGGTGGCGTGGCTCCGCCGCCTCGCCACTCGCGGGCTCCGGCTGAGAGCGCGCTGGGGCAGGGGCGGCAGAGGCGTGTCGTGGGGGAGGGGGAGAAGATCGATTAGGACGGTCGAGGCAGAGCTTCGCTGCAAGGCAGGAGGCAGGCGCGAGATGCTGAGGAAAGAGAGGCCGGATGCGCAGAGGGGGGAGTTGCCGCTGTCGTGGATGGAGGGTGAGCCCGGTGAGGACGGGAAGACCCGGGCGGGAGGGGGCGAGGCGGGACCGGATTCCCGGGAGCCTTGATGTCCGAGTGGTCGCACCCGTGGGGCACCGGGCGGCTCGGGCTCCAACCAGGCGAGGCGCGGCTCCCCGCGGCCCGGAGCGCGGCTTGGGCGCCGCGGTCCACCGCGTGCGCACCGAGCCTTTGTCTGCTTCTCGCAGGCGAACCGCGCTTCTGTGGCGCTTTCACCGGGCAGACGCTCCTGTAGGTTGCCGTTTAGGCTTCCCTCTCCCAACTGCCGCTCACCCCTTGGCCCTGACTGACCCTCAGCTCCCGAATACCCCGGGTCAAGCCCCTCCTCGTGGCCAGCTTTTGGGATGCAGCAGCCTAGAGTACAAGCGTGTTCCGCGCCGGCCTGGCTGTCTTCTGCAGTCCCGCTTCCCTGGCGCGGGCGGGTCCACGGTGGCCGCGTGGCCAGGTGAATCTCCACTTGCACTTGCCCATTGACTTGATTGGCTGGCAGAGCGTAGTCTCTGTGCCCCTAGCTGACCTCTGGATCCTGAGGTCTCCCCAGGTGTCTGCCTCCCCACCCTGCTGCAGGTGTCTGTTCAATTCATACCCCATGGATGCTGGGGTTGAAAAAAGATGGGATTCCGGGCATGAGTGGACTGAGCTTGTGGTCCCACCTGCTGCAACTTACCTTGAGGTCAGCAGAGACATTTTTTCTTCCTGAAAGAGTCTCTATGAGTTGGCCATGGGTTGAAGGTAGTGGGAGGGTGGGGTTCAATTGTCTCCCATTGGGTGGTGGAGTAAAACTAAGACCTGGCCTAGAGCTGGGGTTCCCTGGGGTCCCCTCCCTGGTGCACTCCTGAATTTCCCTCCCTGGTGCACTCCTGAATTTCTTATTTGCAAAGCAAAATCTTCTTTGGTAACTGATGGGGGGGGTGTTGTAGGTTGCTGTAACTTGTAGTGATCCACACTGTTTTGTGGGAGAAGGTGTAGCATGGATTCTTAGGGCTGAAAAATCCCTAAAATGTGTTTGGAAGGAACACATTTTCTGGAGATGACTCTGTAAGCAGTGTACCTGCTTGTTTGAGGTGGGGCTGGCTTTGTGATGGATGTGGAGTGTAAGGATGAACAGCTCCAGAGAGAAGCTTAAGTTGTCCCAGGGGACTTCTAGGTCACCCTCCCTTTAGGAGGACCCAGCATTTGGAGCAGAGTGCCTTTGGAAGGGATCCTCTCCGCACACAGTTCCAATGGGGAGAAGTCAGATTAGTCATGGCAGGCTCCAGAGGCCCCTTGTGTTGTTCCCAAAGCAGCTTCATCTGGGACATCTTGAGGGTGGTGGGTACTAGGATGCTTTTCAACACAATCTTTTTCTCCTTACAGAGGAGAAAAGGAAATGGATCTGTAGAGGAAATTCAGGCTGTCTGCTCTGACATTCTTGGCTCCACTTTTGGGGTCTTTTGTTTCTCTCTGTTGCAGTACAACAAGCAACGTCAATCTCAATTGCTAAAGTCCCTAAAGCTTGGCAGAGTTCTCTGATATTTTTCATAAAAAATCAGTCTCTTTTTTAAAAAAAAAATTCTGGATTTTATAAGAATGTAAAAATACCCACGTCTTCAGATACATCTAAGTGGAGTTTTTGTTCCCTTTTTCTTTAGATTTGATCACTTGGTCAGCCAAACAAGTTGTCATGTCAAGGCTGCTGTGTTTAATTATTGCTTGTATAAATGCCTGCTTTACTTTTGTTATCAAAAAGCAAATCATACATTGAAGGCACAAAAGCCAAGACCCATTCCTGTCCATTTTAGTTCACACCTCCTCCTGCGTTCACTCAGTCATGTACCAAACAGACACTTACCCAAGGCCACTGCCATGTGCGGTCCTGGCCTGGCCAGCCCCAGAACCTGGAGAGGATACTTGCCACTGACCTGTCCTGCAGGACTTTGTCAACCTCTAGGAGAGGAGGAGCAGCCTAGGAGTAGGCTTGGTATAAATGCCCAGTGTTGCAAGTGGTGAGTGGCCCTGTGCCTGATGCTGTCCCTCTGTTTTTATCAGGCCATTTCCTGTTATCTGGTGACCTTTGGCCTTTTCCAAGCTTCACACTTCATTGTTGGGGTAGTTGCTGATTGAATAGGAAAAGCCTACACATGGACGGCCCAGACCTGTTGTCCCAGAGTGAATCCCTGGCATTTCACTTTGCAGTGTGACAAGTGTGTGTGCAAGTATGTGTGTGATGTGTGTTTGTGTGTGTGTGTGTGTGTGTATGTGTGTGCAGTGCAGAACCAGTTGAGAAGCCATGCTGGGAGAGGCCAGTGTAAACTGCCTTCAGTCTTCTGGAACAAATATCATTATCACTAGCCATCTGTTTGCATTAGGTGGCTAGTGGTGTCACTCTGTTGAGACATGGCTGGAGGAGGTGCCATGGTGGGATGGGACGTACACCTGTGGAAAAAGACTTTGGAGGTTGAGTGAATGCTGCTCTGAGATCGGTCAGAAGCCACAAACGTCACCAATGTCTCTAATTATATAATGTTCACATTTCACTGGTGATAGATACAGAGAGCATTGGAAAAGAAAAACTTCGATGGTTAAGGAAGAAGCAGGGGGACTAGGTGGGAGCAGGTGGCGAATGCAGCTGCTGATACCTTCAGACTGCAGCTCACTGCATCCTTCTCAAATACTCAAAGCAGAAAGTACGTGTTTTCAGGAGTTGTGGATTTAAATATGCTCACACCCATCACTAGCCACTCTTCCTCTGTTTCTTGAGACATGAGAACTGTGTGGCCAACACTGAAACAGACTGAGATAAATATAATTCCTTTTAAGAGCAAATGTTGAACACTTCTGTGCTACACTAGACTTCACAGTTAGTGTATTTTTATGGGCTCTGTGAGGCTAGGCTGCAGGGGAGACCAGACCCATAGCACAGCACTGCACTGGAGTGGATCTAGCTTGGCTAGTTGGTGAAGGCTTATGCAGTGTGTACTGTAAATTGTGTGAAGATAGTGGACCTGACATGCAGACAGAGGTGCCCATGAAGGCAACCTGCAAAGCCAGGTGTAGGCAGTGGTAAGTGTCCTTGGTTATCCCTGGAGGGGTGAGCTGGTGTTTGACTGGGTAATTGGTTGAAAGGGCAAAATTATTTAAACTGTGTGGGGTTATTTAGTTTATTAATATGTAATTCCACTTTTATATTGAAAAAACTATGGACAGAGATACCCTCTAAACGTTTAAAGGAGAAGCAGTGGTGTCATGGGTATTCTGCTATGATGTATCAGCCTTTGGCAATTTTTGCAGTCAACCTTTTCTACCCCACAAGCAAAAACAATGCTGTACAATGGCTGGTGTAGCAAGTATCTTGTTTACTGTAAAGGTTACACATGGTGTGTGGTGAACATTTCACCAACTCATGCACTGTAGATTCTTGTTTGTTTAAAAGTAACCCATAAAGTCTGCGGAGAGAAAATTCATTTTCATGTTAAAGGAATAGTTTTCCTTAAAAGGAAAGCTCTACCTTGTAGTTCAGAACATCTTAATTTTCTTTTAACATGTAAATCGAGTTCTTGCAGCTGATCTTTCCTCCAAGTATATTTAAAGGAAAACTCCAGGGACAGAAGAGTTCTGTCAAAGAGGACAGCAGGTATGGATCATTCCTGCTTGCCCCTGGCACCTCCCACTTTCGTACCTCTTGTCTGTCTGTCCTCTTTAGAGGACACACTGGTGAGCGCCAGTGGGCAGTGCTTATCTCTCTTATATCTCTTGAGATCAGTAGTGGCTGACACACACGTGGAAGGTACCTATATATTTGTGTAGGAAATTCCAAGATGGAAACAAAACTGATCCAAAGGAAATGAAGCAGGGTGCCTGTCTTCAGGAAACCTAGAAACCCATGAGCAAGAACTGACATTTGCCCTGCATTCTAGGGGCCCAGGATTCAAAGATGTGTGAGACAAGATCATGCTGGAACAGGGGCTGATTTCTGGTAGTTATCAGCCCAGAGAAGAGTGGGAGCTAAGTCCAGGCAGGCACCATGCAGATGACAAGAGTGACAGGACAGGTGTCTGACTAGACCCTGGACTTCTTAGTTTCTGGGCTCTCTGGCTCCAGGCCCAGAGAAAAGAAGAAGGTACTGTATACCTGCAGTGTGTCTAGACCTG